TTCTGATAGAAAATTTTGATTTTCAAGGATTGCATACCATTTCTACGAAAAGATGTTTTTTGCGTGGTTTGAACGACCTCTAAAAATTTTTTGATTTCAAACTAAAAATATAGGAGTATAGTTTTTTTCGGTATGGAACATACCTAATGTACATACATATGAGTATGTATATATGTATGCTAGTATGTGAGCGCTAATGTTTATACGGTGTGATTTTACTTGGTCCTTTGTACAACAAAACGACAAAAGCTGCTGGTAGGCTGTTGCTTTACGGAAAGCTGGCAAACTCATGGAAAATCAGCTGAAGCCCACCTTTTACCTCAATTCATTTTAAGCAAACGTTTCATTGCTACTTTTCCACAAAATTCGGCGCTCGAAGCGTTCAAAGTCAATTTGGTGCGTGACGCTGTTACCGTGATAGCAGCAGATAACCGCGTCCTTGGTGTCATCAGAGGTATTACTGTTGCATATCAACCCCTCGAGTTGTTCTCCGCATATCGTCCGCGACTTCAGGCCATTTGCATCATTTGAAACCACCCCCCAACTAGATCAAAATATTCAAAAGCCTGCGCTCGTGTGCGAAAACTACGGTGTATAAAAAGATAAAGTATATACACGTGTGTGTGTCTGTTTATATGTACATATGTATGCATGTGAAGATACTAGTAAGCCCGCGAGCATTTGCATCTGAGTGTTGCTCGTGTAAAGGCTTGTTCGCGTTTATTTACTATGCAGCTGTGAAAATATGAATTGTATGCGAATATTTCGCATAATTACGGAGCGATTAAAATAGTGTTCTGCCACGCGAGGCCTACTGGCCGCCCCTCAGAGTGCTTGAGTGACCTAATCTGCATACAAGCGAGTATGGTTTCAAAATAAATACTTTTTCCGCACCGTTACTTGCCTCCGCTTTCATTTACGACTACGTAGCGTGGCTGTGCCGAAATAATAATGTATGAAATACTCGTAGCATCCACGGCGCTGTGGTATGTATTCGCCCACATACCACACGTTGCGGCATCGGTTATTGAAACTGCCAAAGCTTATTAGAACTTAATTTAAACAAATTCACATTGCAATCACACCCCTACCAGCCTCAATTTTTATATCCTGGTTGGCAAAAACTAGCACATCATTAATGATGTTCAAAAACTCACACAATGGTGCATCCTTTGGTTTTGGGGCCTGCTTGTTGTTAATACTTATATTGATTATTTAAAATTGGTCAGGAAAACTACGTTGAAATATCGAAATACCTTTGAGTCCTACGCGAGCGATGAAATCATCATACTTAATGATCGATTCATTTGAATAGTAGACAATAGACTGGATCAATCCCCAACGCCGACATTTTCTCAAAGTAAGCTTTCGAATTTAGGGGGGAGGGGGGGGGGGGATTTTAAATTATGTATAAATGAGAAGTGAAATCGAGTATAGTCGTTGTGCTGAGTATGAAGTTGCACAACTATACCCAATCCCGACTCTTGCGTCCTCGTTCGCGCACTCTGGGCAACGAGAACAACTCATGTGCGAGAACGGTAACCAATCAGTGAGGAGCCTTGAGTTAAGGCAGAAGGAGAGTGAGCTTCGGTGAGGCTACTCCGACTTATTCGGTTTAAGGGCTCCCTGAAGTCTGCAGCGTCTGTTCACCAGTAGGTGCGGCTACAAGCGGGTGTCTGTCTTGAAGCAAACGGCCCGCTAAGTATATAAACGTGTATCCGGTTGCGAAACCACCCCGCCCAAGCAATGGGTTGTGCGCTGGGTTTGAGACCCGTCACGCTTCAGTGAAGAAGCGAAACAATGCCTCAGATGAGGCCCCCCTTATTATGACCACCACGGCAAATGTTTACAGGACTATGATTTGAGTGCATGCACCTGGAATGTCCGGACCCTTAATGGGAAGGTGCCCCTGTCCGGCTGGTTGATGTCCTCGTAAGGACAAAAGTTGACATCACCGCCATCCAAGAAATGCGTTGGACGGAACAAGGCGAAAAATGTCTGGGGCCTTGCGACGTCTATTACAGCTGCCATGTTAAGGAGCGCGAATTCGGTGTTGGATTTGTGGTGGGAGAGAGACTCCGTCGCCGAGTACTGTCGTTCACCCCGTTGGACGAGCGTCTAGCCGAAAATCCGCATCAAAGCAAGATAATTCAACATCTCGCTGATCTGTGCCCATGAACCGACGGAAGAGAAGAGCGAGGCGTCCAAGCATCTTTTCTATGAGCGCTTGAAGCGCACATACGAGCGCTGCCCCCGCCATGATATTAAAATCGTGCTTGGCGACTTCAATGCCAGGGTGGGCAAGGAAGTTATCTTTGGAACCACCGTCGGAAATTATGATGTGACCGAATACTCGTCGGGCGTTCGTTATAATTCGTATTCGTTTCTAAATTGTAAGCAGACTACCTACATGCCACTTTTTGCATATGGAAATGACAACATATCGTGTAAAGGCATATTAGATTCATTTCTTTACATATCAGTTGCACGTACATACGAAATAGAAGGTTTCTATTTTCATCTGACATGCAGATAGAATCATCTGTGTTTATTTTATTTCGTTTTTGTTGAGTGTGAACAGTTAATAAAAAACTTTGAACTTGACAGACAGATGCAATTACATATGTATGTATCGAAACAGTCACATTTACAGATGGAAATACATATCGTGTAAGAACACTTTTAGGGCCGGTTACTCAATGTCTGGTTAGCACTTATCTGTGGTTAAACATCGTTACCGACGTCTTCGACTCCATACAGACAACAGGGAGTCGGTAACGTCGATAACTATATTTAACCGGAGATTCCAGATATTGAGTAACCGGCCCTTAGAGTGAAAAATTGCTAAGTCCACTTTTTCTATGAAATTATATTCTGATGCAAGAAGTAGGAACAATTGAAAATACATTGTTTCCTAAATATTTAACTACCTACATACATATTTTATTTAAAATCACTTCTATTCAGTTATACGGAAAGAATACAAAAACTTTTCATCAACATCATGGAATTTTATACATTTGGAGTGGTTTTAGCTTAGAATGTGAGAAGTCTTGTATTTGAATTTTTGCAAAATAAATGGTTGAAGAAAATTAGTTGGAGAGATTTTTATTCCCTTTTGTAAAATTTGTCTTAGGAAATTGCTACTATAAGCTAGCAAGATGTACACATACATACACATATTATATTTAGATTGTTGTTGGAACGTTTTAATGCTCAACGGAAATTGCATTGCATATTTGGAATTAAAACTTTTACATACATAAATACATACATATGCGAATTAAGTCCTTAAATGGTCTATTAGAAGAAAAAAACTGCTCACCCGTACGCTCCAAAGTGTGAACGTTCACATTCATTTGGTCAAGCTTATTTTTATGGTAACTACCGTACATTTTGAAATTGGCCATAATTGCAAATGCTCCGAAGTACTATGTACATATTTGAAAGCAATTAAAAGTTAAAGTGCTTATGGATTAAAAGGATTTTGAAAATGCTAAAATTTCAGAGTCGCTATTAAAACAAATTTTATTAGAACAGTTTCTGCAACATAACCAGGAAAATGTAGTGGTTGCAATTTAACGTTTTTCAACAAAACTCCAATGCTAAATTAAAAATATGGACTTTCTTTAACTTCGTATGCATGGCCGTATGTATGTAGACTCACATTAGGGTGCCCATCGAATTTTTCTTTTGAATTTTTATTGCGTATGTACCGGCCTTTCAGATTTTTTGAGCAGTGTGTCTAAGGAATTCATTAATATTTATTCAAAATTGATATATACAGTCGCTCTTTAGCAAAACAGTGGTTCAAGAAATTTTAGGAAAATGGGTGTGCCACCGCCTACTTGTATGATATATGCATATCTCAAAAACTACTTGACCGATCAGGCACCGTCTTGAATATTTTTAAAATCGGACAAAACCTACTCCCCCTAAAATATCCCAGCAAAAACTTTTCATTTTTTGGGAAGGACTTATTTTTGTGTATACTTAATTTGGTCGAGATCGTCAAGGCGATGCCACCCCCATTTTCATAAAAAATGTTTTAAAACCAACTGTTTGCTAACAACGATTGTATATATCAATTTAAAATAAATATTGATGATTTTCTTAGCCACACTGCTCAAATAATCTGAAAGTACGGTACATACGCCGTATAAACTCAAGGCGGTATTAAGGATAAGTTGCCTAACTTCGACGGGTTTTATGCGATTGCAATAAATGGGTGTCAGTTTATTTGAAAATAGATTTAATTTAAGATAGTACTACATATTTAAAAATTGTGGAAATAAGTGATGGTCAAAACTTAAAAAAGTACGAAAGAATGTTTTTTTTTTTTTTTTTTTGATTTGCCCAATGAAAAATCCCGACAATCCAAGTGTGAGAAAAGATATCTAAACATCATTTTAAAGGCCTATAAATTCTCTTCTCACAACATGTTCGATCTTTAAAATTGAATGAAAACTAGTCATTCAAAAACTGATATATCTACAAAACCGTACTTTCTGACCTAAAATGACAAGTCGCGACCTCTAAATGATTTAAAAAAAAAAATCTATAAAAATAGGAAATAATATTTCTGATAAAAAGGAACTAGGGGGTAGGGTCTTGAAACTTCTAATTTTTTTTTCGATGGGCACCCTAATACACATAGTTATCTAAAAATTTATTTATATAGATATGTATGTATGTACATAACTGCATCCGTCGAATAGACCGAACATTCCCCACTCCAGACACTCCGGAGTATTAATCTCGCCCATCCGGCGCATTTACCTAAACTGAGACAAATATTTTGGTGGGAGTTATAAAATGCTTCATGAATCATGATTTTCTTGGGGAAGCACATATTTCTTTTGGGGGGATTAGTTCGCAAATTGCTTATTTATGTATGTTTGTATTGTATGTACATATGTATATACATATATGTACATATATGCACATATGAATATAATGAAAATAATAATATACGTTATGAGACATAAAATTACGCTTACCTTCGTTATCTTGTGAATTCAAATCACTCAACACAGTTCCAGAAAGTGATGTGACCACTGCTTCTGCTTCTCGGACCGCCATTGGCGTCAACGGTTTTTTATCTGTAGCCGATTGTGCTGCGGCGGCACTACGTCTTTGCTTCTCTTTTGCATTCATTTCGACCAAAGATTGGGCGGCCGACCACTCGAGTCGTTTGCAGAATTCCACATCACTTGCTGCTCCCTCCAATTCCAAATCGATGCGATCAACGCTAATAGTGCCATTTACTATATGTTTTTTGCTACCTCCATCTGTGATATTGTCCCAGTTGCTGCGTTTGCATGTATTCTGCGACAAGGGTGCCAGTGGTGCTACCTTAGCGGTTGTTTGCAATGCCGACACTGGTGAGGGTTGCGTTACACCAGTTTTTCTTACCACCAAAATACTTGATTGCTGCTTTGGAGGTGTTGTTGGTATTTTTTGTGGCATCACAGACTTTCCCTTGCCCGCTGCGTTCCCTGCTGGATGCTGGGCCCTCACAACCGACGACAATTGCCGACTTGTTGATCGTGGTCGCGCCGATGAATTTTTGGCGTAGCTGAGTGTGGCCCCAGGCGTGATGATGATTTTATTACTCGAAGGTCGCATGCACTCGACAGACATTTTGTGCGAAACGTTTGCCTTAGAACCTTCAAATGGGGCCGTAACTCACTTCTGCACATGAAAAAAATTAAACTATTCTGTTATCTACTTGCGCGCGTATAACTCGTAGTAGCCAAATTTTAATTTTTGTTTTTTTTGAGTAAAGTTAATTCATAATTTGCAAACGTTCTTAACGCCTTTGATGCTTTAATTTTTTTGCTATATCTAAATTTTTAAAATTTTCCTTTTCGCTCACAGTTGAGTATTGCTTCGTTGTATCGTTGACATAATTTTCACGTTAAATTTTTGTCGTTGTTTTCTTGTTTTATTAATATTGCTTGTTGTCCATTTTATATTAAAAGTGTTTGCCCATAGTTATCTCTCTTTTATGGCAGAACCAGTGGGCGGTGTAAAAAGTGATTTTTAAATTTATACGCTGGTAGGTAAGTGCGGTGATGGTACAGTATCCTGAAATTGATTTTTTTTTTTAAATTCTTGTTGGCTTTTGAAAAGATGTATCGGAAAATATAAGAGTATTTGCTTACAAAAATATACAGGACTAGCAGTCCCAACAGACCCTTTCCTGCCTAAAAATACTTACTTACTGGTCTATAAAATGCAGCTGCAATTCAAAAAATTCCTGGTTTTAGTTAATAACGGAGTGAACAGTTTTGTTACTCGATGCCTTTCGTCTTGGCTATTTACAGGCCTATTCTGCGTTGGTTAAAAAAAATCTTGTTACCGGTAAATAGAGTTCCTGCCATTTTTTTTATGTTTTCGTATTCTGCGCGCTCTTGTGGCCGGTAAATTTTGTTACCATCTCATAGGCAGGTAACAAAATATTGCTCCGTGAAATATGCCACACCAAAATTTCTACAAAACTTTATAGCTGAATGAATCAAAACGGTGATGTGATGTAATTTTTTGGTAACACAATTTTCCGGTTACCGGGTGGTTCGGTATCAAACAGAATCGCCTGTTACTGTTCATAATACAAACAACGCGGATAGTTTGAAAATGAGCGATCAGCGACTAATGTTGGCAGCAAGAGAAGTAGAATTCTAAGCGTTTAAAATTAAACTAAAAACTATTTGGTGTTATAGGTGTAAGTGGGCTTTCCTGAAATTATTCCTCAGCCTTTTAATGGCAAAGCCATGCCTGATTGATTTTGCGCACGATAATCACCTAGCCGGCGGTTGGTTGGTTGGGAGTAAATTGGCAAATTGGAAATGATGTAACGGAAATGGTGCAACGGAACTGGTTGGGGCTGAAACAAGTGCTTCTTGTGTGTATGCATATGGTATTAATTTAACAAAAATTTGCTAATAAAAGATTAAAGAATAACATTTAGAAAAAGACCAATACAATAAGTAAAGGTGACTACGTACATAGATAAAAAAAGGATAAAGGCAAACAAAGTTAAAAATTAAAAACAAAAACAAATGTGCTTAAAGATAAAGGCAAAAATGAAGACCAAGGTAAATTTAAACACGTTACTTATATATATGTAAAGGTAAAAGTGAAGGGAATATGTAGATGAAGAAAATGATAAATATCAAAGTAAAGACAAAGAGGAGGATGGGGATACCGATAAAAGTAAAGATGAAGATAGGGGAAGAAAGATTAAAATAAAGGTAATTATAGAGAAAAGGATATAGATAGAGACACAGAGATTCAATATGGGAACTATTTTGGGATTTTAGAGATTTTCGGTATTCTCGGGACTTATCGATAAAATAATCGATATTTTTATTTGTTTTGTTATCGATATTTGATCGGTTTTTTACCGATATTGTTAACAATTTTGCTATCGATATTTTCGGAACCTATCGATATATCAATCGATATTTTTATTAATTTTGTTATCGATATTTTTATAGATTTTGTAATCGATGTTTTTACTATTTAATTAGAGATGTTTTTTATCGATTTTGTTATCGATATTTATCGATTTGGTTATCGATACTTATCGATTTCGTTATCAACATTTATCGATTTTGTTAGCGATATTTATCGATTTTGTTATGGATATTTTTAGCGATATTGTTATCGATTTTGTTATGGATATTTTTATCGATTTTGTTATGGATATTTTTGTCGATTTTGTTTTTTGTTTATAGGTTTTGTTATCGATATTTTATTGGATGTTACTATCGATTTTGTTATCGCTATAGTATAAAGATACAAATTAAGATAAAGGAAAACAGAATAACAAAAATGTAATTAGAACGAACAGCGGTAGAGGTAGGGATCTGGATAGAAAAAAGACAAAGAATATAACCTTAACCAAAAGCAGATGTATGTATGTATGTACATATGTCTGTATGTATATTGGTTATGAGACAAAATAGATATGCATGTAACGTAGGTTTCACTACTCCAGTGTGGCCCAGGCGCACTTTCTTTTTTTATCTGGGCACACTTACGGTACGCTCGAATCTTGTTTGGGAACGCCTTAATTTGCTCTCGATAGCGTCGGAATACTACTTTCTGAAACTTCTCTGAGTGCCAGTCCATAGAGATATCACAGGAAACTGCGCGGCTGATGAACCCGCCAAAGGCGGCACCCTTGAGGAATTATCGCCAAGAAGAGAGATTGTGGGAGTTCCCCTGACCACTTGTGGACTACTCTTGGGAGGGTGGACCGGACGCGGTCAATGGATCTCTCAATTCTAGTGGGTGTACTAACAGGACAATGTCCTTTTGGGTTCATGCAGTGAGATAAAATATCTTATCGGACCCCCTCTGTCGCTGCTCATGCTCTCTGACAAGTCCGGAGGAGCTCTCCGTGATTAATATTGAATATTGGCCTGCTGCGAAACTTCGTTCTCGGCACTCAGTGATTCTCGCTCTAACTTAGCAGTTACCATTCGCAGTGGTATCACAAAGGGCCAATTTTCACGGTCTTAGTGAGCCCCCTTCAAGGGGCAGCCATCTAACCTAACCTAGGATCTTATTCGGTATTTTAATTTTAATTTTTTGTATTTTTTAATTTAATTTTCTTTAAATTTTAAGAGTTTTTAAATATAAATATATTTCTTTATTTATTGAATTTTTAGGTACTATTTTCTTCCCTTTTTGATTTAATTATTTTATTTTTAAAAATTAAATATTCGATTTTGTTGTTTTAAAAAAGAAAAAAAAATATTTCTTTAAATTTATTTAATTTTTAAAACTCTTTTAATTTTATTTTTAAATTTAATTTTCTTTTATTTATTAGTTTTTATTGTTTAAAATATATAGTGATTCACACGATTGACGAAATGCTGATTTTTTTAATATTCGTAATGATTTTCAAAATAAGTTTTATATTGTTTAGGTTAAAGGGAAAATTAGGCAAATTAGTTTGGCAAAATTTTTTTTTAGAAAAATAGCAAAAAAATCTTAACTCGAAAAACATTATGCATATTTAAAAAAATAGGCACGTGGTCACTTCTTTGATTCACTGTACTTTTTTTTTTTAATTTAACTTAATCTTGCAGCACAAAAATCAGCAATGACAATTGCCTTACGAAAGACTATCGTCTTTTGACCAAGGGAGAGGGTGTTTTAGCAAAACTATGACGAACTTTCTCACAAAACTTAGCGGCGATCTCGCATATTTAAGAGCATATTTTGTTTACTTATCGAGCATTTTTAAGCGCTTAAAATCAGCGTTTTTATGCATATTTTATAGCTCTGGTTATGACATACATACATTCGTCAAGAAAATGCCAAGAAACTATTTAATTAAAAAAATTCTCGTGATTCGATTTCATATTTGTAGTTGTTTTATATACATACATGTATGTATTATATAAATACACATATGCATACGTATGTATGTATGTAAGCAATTTAGTTGACGAGTGAAGCTACAAGTTCCGGCTGCTTTCGTGTGTCAAAATATATACTATATTTAATACAATACACGTGTGTCGAATCATTCGGGTACATGCATACTTACACATTTACTTATGTATATAAGATATTTACAAAAACGCCTACATACAGTATCGGTCATATCAGTCGCATGCTATTGCAAAGTGATATTCTTTGTAAGTATTATTATTTATTTATTTTTAAGAATACATAAACCCAAGTTTAAAACTTTATAGAAAACTAGCAGACCCGGCGAACTTCATCCCACCCAAAATAATTTTTTTGTATTGAAGAATTTTGGTCCAACATTTTCAATCTTCTAATATTACGGTTTAGTGCGTTTGAAAGGCGCCACGCCCTTTTTCAAATTGCCGAAATTTCCTCTAAGAGTATGTGACTGATTTCATATATCTCCATACCATGTTTGAGTACTCTAACATGAACATTTTCGGAGAAATTCTATTTATATGGAAAGTACTACGCCCCTTTCTCCAATAGCCCCAATTTTTAATCATGACTATGCGATTGATTTTATATATTTTGTACATACCAAGTTCCAGTACTCTACCATGAACACTTCCAGAGATATGCAGTATGAAAAATTCAGTTTGTATGGGAGGTGCCACGCCCCCTGCACCAAGCGGTATATACAAAAATTTGTATAAAGATAGGTCCAGCCGTTTAGGAGGAGTTCGATCACTAACACTGCGGCACGAGATTTTTATATATTAGATTAAAAAACAAAAAGTTCAACATGTTTTCATTCGTATTTCAAACTTTTTTCTTAGAAATGCTTGATTTTTTTTAGTATACAATTTTATATCCCACTTAATTTTAGTGTAATAACGAGCAAGTTTCGAGTGGCTATTAATTACCGTTACTTTTTTATAATTTTTTTGTATCGGTGTTGGTTGATTTTTTTATCGCATTCGCTTTCATATAACGAATGCATATCATTTATTTTTATATGGAAGAAAACCGCGACATCTTGGGCAAGAAGAAAATTTAAATAAATCCGTGGTAATTTTTTGCCACTTGAAAATTACACATTATCGCACTAAAACTGTATACTCCAAAAAATTCTAACACTTCTGAGAAAAAAATTTTAAGTATGGATGAAGAGATGTTGATTATTTTTTTTAATTTTTTGTAAAGTTTTAAACTTTTAATGTGGGCTTTTTATGAGAATGAATTTTTTTAAATTAAAAATTCTTAAAAATAAATAAATAAACATTAGTGGCAAACAATATAACTCTGAAATGGGGCGATATTTATATGACCGATGCTGTATCTACATTTAATAAATACCTGTTCCAGGTTTGCGTTCTAGTTAATCTAACTACGTAAGCGATTCGAATGTTAATTTATTGGTGTTTTACTTGTAACTAGACATCGACATTTGTAGATTTTACTTATTTCATTTGCACAAATGTACATATGTATGTAGATACGAGTATGCATACTATATATGCGTATTAGCTGAAAACATTTGGGCTACGTGTGAAGCCAACAACTTTCGTCATTACTCTTCAGGTGGTTGTGCGGCGAGAGCAAAGCAACAGAGCGGTATTTTACCTCAAAGTGGTTTGGAAGAAAAGTGTATATATGTAGATGCATAGCTACATATGTTTGTATGAAAAATATATCGCGTGTTGTTCCAAATGTCCAACCAATCTTAGCACAGCAATGATTATATTACTCATATAGACACATATACATACATACACCCACTTATACACTTGTAAATTTCTTCTAAAAGCGCTGTTTAATATTTATACAAAGCAATTGCTGCTTGGCAACACGAAATATTGAAATCATTGCTTGCCCTCGAAGCCTTTTCAAATAATTATATCCTTTTTAAGTAAATATGTATATACACACGTTCACACATAGTTTTTAAGCTGCCTAGCACGAATGCTTAATTGTTAGCTTTGTAGCCTTGCAATGCGGATGTTTGTGTCTTTTTCGGTATTTTACACCAACTCGGACTTCAATTTAATTACTGTGTTTTAATATTTCATACGTATATTTTCGGAAAGCTAAAATTTCTTGATATTTATTAGAGAAAAATTACAAAAATAGTTGAAATTTTATACGATTTCTTGTCACTTTAGATTTTCGTACACTCCAACATCGTTTCGATAGTAGTTGGCTTACTGCCAAACCTGCTAAAAATGAATGGCAATGCCGTGCTACCGCCTTCGTGTGGCGAGCAGTTACGAATTCTTTCTATCTCAAAGAGATTCCCTGACTTCTCTCAACGATTTGCCCGCGGTGTTGCGCCTAAATTGCGGCAACAGGAACGCACATATACACCCAAATCGAGAAATTCTCAAAAGATACAAAAAAAAAAAAAACTATAGCACACAACAACAATAACAGAAGTATTAAGTAATCGCTAAGTGAAACATATAGTGCCTTGCTCCACTTATTTCCATTTAGAATAATTTTGAAATGTTACTCACTTTGGTCTTGCTTCCATCGAATTGTTGACCGCCGATTTTAGTTTGAGAATCAAACAACTACATCACAATTGCCACCACTAACGAGCAACTTATCCCACGTCTTCTCTATATTTACTTATTTTTCATTTTCATTTTGGCTTTTTGTCCTTCGTTTTCAGACTTTCTCTTTCATCCGCTTGCACCTTTAGTTCTATAGCTTTCCACTCTCTTTTTGCATTTTTCACAATTGTTAATATTTTGTGTGCTGTGCTTTTTCTTCACGTCACTTTTATGTTTCTTCAGCGAAAAATCCGTAAATTGGTCGGATAGCAACAGCAAAATAACTGAAAGTCTATACCACTTACTTTTTTCTACACGGAATTACTTTGAATCATATATGTACATAAATGATCGATTTAGAGTGGATTATAGTAGCAAAAAGTTTTCGAAAGAAGAATAGAGGGGAATTGGGACGATGCAGAAGAGTTTATCATCATGTAACTTAACGATTTTTGCAGGTGCTCGCAGGTCAGGATCAAAATCAGTAGTTCTACTTTCCAAATACAGTATAATCGCGTTTCACATAGAGCTCCGATAGAAGATAGAGTTGATAGTTAATTTGAGGCGAAAAGAGTTCAGCTTAGTTTTTGAGTTAAGTTCAGTTCACAGTTGATTAGAGTTCACAAAAATTAGACAATGAAGAAAAAAAATCTAAAAGTTGAATAATAATATTTTTTCCTGTAGCGCACAATACACTGCTGATGTGCGTCAGATTTTGACGTACCACTCCCTTCTACTGGTGCGACAAAAAGTCGCTAACGTTCGCCAAACTCGAAACCAAAAACATTCGAATTATTCCTTCGGCAATTCATTGCCTACTACTGGGCGCAAGAAGCGCTCTTTTTTCTCTCAGAGCGTACTCAATTTGCATAAAATTTGTACTTGTAGCCATTGGACTTCGAGTTGGAATTTGTGAGCAAACGTTATTTGTGGTGCTTGCAACACTCTAAAGGAGCAACATGTAAAATTATAGCTTTCGGCATTGCTCTCACACGCGGAGCGATATTTAAAAGTGTTTCACATGCGCTTATATAGTTGTCCATGTGCACGTTTGTACATGCTTACCGTAATTTATAATGGTAGCATTGGGTTTTTCTCCCTGCTGTGAATCGGTGGCGGTGGTTTTCTTTTTTCAGAGGTGATTAAATGGCGGCAAATGGTGTTTACAAATACACTAGGGTTTCGCGTTGAAATACACTGCAAACAATTTTAAGTGCATACCGCTCGATTAACTTTTCACCTGCTTGAAAGGTTCTCAAGTTACATTTTTTTCTCATTAGTGATACAATTTTTTTGCTTCGCATATTGCCTATGCTACTGTAGGTGTGTATGTACTTACATATATTAAGGGTGTTAAATAAGTTACGCCCAGCACTTTCACCGAACAACGTTCTGGCCCACTCAAGCGTCCCATCTTGCAAGATAACTTATGAACACTCTGGCTATCGTAGCGCTCTAGAATTTTGATAGCCATGCGGCGGTCAGCCTGGGCTCTTTTAACTGGGCTAGCGCACCGTTTTTGCCCAACGCTCGAAGTCTCTATACCTCTTAGAGATAGCCCTTTGCTTTTGCCGATATACCCCTAGACCGACGCAGGAGATACGGTCGGTTATGACCACACTCTGCACCTTGCAGAAGTTTCGAGCTCAGTAATATTTTGAAGTGCATTTTGGGGTGTATTGAATATGGAAACCAATGGACTCTATTTCTCCAAAAGCATAACAACTCAAAATACCTCTATTTCCTGAAGACACGTTTTTGCAGTGAGTCCAAATGATTTTTGCAAGGCGATTTCAACTTTTTTTATTGTCCAACGTTGGGACCGCCCTTTTTAATTTTTTCGCTGACTCCTACTTACATACATTCATTCGACAAATTACTATTTTTTTAATAAATTATTCTATTGAAATAATCGAATAATACTTCCTATCTCGCTAATTTGCGCCCACGCCCCGACGGAAAAGAAGGACGAAGTGTCCAAGGATCACTTTTATGAGCGCTGCCCCCGTCACTATATAAAAATCGTGCTTCGTGATTTTAATGCCAGGTGGGCAAGGAAGGTGTCTCTGGTCCCACTGTCGGAAAATTCAGCCTCCACGACGAAACGTCCGAAAACGAACTAAGGCTGCTCGACTTCGCACGGGCGCGCGAACCTCATGCAACATTTCTAGTATTTGCTCAGTGTACCGCTCTTTTCGAGTGGACTTAAAGCAGCCCTCGGAGCAGTCTCACGAACACCCTGCTGGCGCTATAGTCGCTGACACAACAAGTAGCCGATGAGCAACACTTTGTTGCGCTCACAAGTGGTTATTCGTGTCACATTGTACTTTTATTACTTATTTTCCCTTCGTATTTAGAAATTCTCAGTTCTCAGAAACTCTTGCACTCTCTCCATTGGAAATCGGCAAAGTTGGCAAGTTCTCATGCAATATTAACAAATGACTGCTTCTGCGCATAGAAATGGCGACCTGTGTGCTTCCGGGTAGCGAAGAAAGGTTGCAGCGGGAAGAGGGATGTTGAACAGGTGGTGGGCGACGAACAGCAAGCGGGTATTTGGCAGGATGGCGCGAAGGTGTGAGACCTGTAGCAATTATACCAAAGACTTGCACACACACTTGTGGATTGTTACGTATACATACATACATTATTGTCCGCTATCGTCTGCTCCCGGCTTTTCCTTGATGCACGAGTATCATCAAGCGTGCAAAGAATGAAATGCGATGCGGGGCGAAGTGAAGCGAGTTCCTGATGGCTGGCTGGTGCAACGAGATGAGAGGCGACGTGTTGCTTCACTCTGTGCTAGTTAAAATTACATATATGTATGAACGTGTGTGTGTGTGTGTGTGGATGTAAAGGTTTTTGGTAGTCAAACGATTTATTGTTGTATTTGCATAGGACTTTACCATGCAGTTGGCAGCACGAAACTTGTGTAAACTGCCTTGAAGTGTGCACACCTGCAATAACTATGGCCGCGGTAATGGTAGTGGTAACAGGTAATGGTAATGGTAATACTGATGATGACAGCAAAAACGGCTAACAGCAGCAAACGACTATGGCGCGTTAAATCGACACGTTATTTCTACCAACAAATACGTATGCCAAGGAGCGCTGTGCTATAACGTTCTTACGTTTGTTCCGGTTGCATGTTGACTCCTGTTACTCGCAGGTTTCCGTTCCTTATCCTAATTCTATTTGTGTTGTGTATACATATACCTCCACAAACTTCTTTTTGTTTTGTGTTAAATATTTGGTGTTTTTAAGTTTTTATTTGTATTTTTATTGTTGACTGATTTTAATGAACCAAGGCCGTAAAATGATGCGTCATTATCAAAGCGTGGCAGAAACTGTTGGTTACTTCCAAACTGATTTTCTTTCTCCAGTGCTATTTCGATCAATAAATGACTTAAACATCCGACTGAGCGGGTAGGGTTTTGCGGTCCATGTACTCTCTACAGCATAATAAGTAAAGGAAAATTTTAACCTCACGCAGTTATATTTTCCGTTTCGTGACTAAAACAAATTGTTTTCTTCAATTTCAAAAAATCGCAGTCTCTACGGAAAACTGAAAATTTTGCTCCTTACTCCCAATCTCTTCGTCTTATTGCGCCTGGTTAGGATGGAATGGTGCCATGGGTTGTGAAACTCTCTGAGCCTTATAGTCATTAGTGATGTGGTGTGCATTATGTAATGGTAAGCTGACCAATCGTCCGCCTTTGAGGAGGATTGTTCTCCTCAAACGTGATATTTCCTCCTCAAAAGTATTGTTCTTCTCTGTCCTCCTTTTGAACAAAAATGTCCTCATTGTCCTCCTTTTCAAGTTTTATAGCAGTGATGAAAGTTTCCAAAAATTTCGTTCAGAATATTATAATTTCATAATCGTATACAATCATTATATTTAAAAGGAGTTTACATTGTTCAACATTCAGTTAAATGATGTAAACTTTTGATTTAATCAACCGCCTGTGAAAGCTGAACAAAAGCCTTTTAGCCTTAATCAATAATATTTAATACGGCTTTCCCACTGCACGCCAATTACGTAGTTCGCTCTCTCATTCGTAATTCGCACTCCAATCACCCTTGAAATTACGTAATTCGCCATACTAAATTTTTAGAGCGAATTACTTCATTTGTTGGTAATTCAGATCCAATTACCATGAGAATTAAGAAACAAATCGCCGCCGTCTCTAATTTTTATCGCACATTTATTGAAACCAGTTCACAAGTCAATCATCATCATCGCACTTATTGTGAGTACGAAAAGCAATTACTTACATTTTGGATAAATTTTGTAGCGATTTAGGCGGCCAAAATTATTTTTATGAAAATTTTAACTCAAATTGTTTAGAAACGACGTATTACGATATCTCAAACTGAAAATGTTTAAAATAAAGTAAATAGAGTGGGAGGATGTCCAAGTATTCGACGAAAACAACGAAAATAAAGTTGCTTGAAGTTTGACATCGATAGGCTCCATGGTATCAAGGTCCGATTATATAAACATTTATACCTGCGTGTTCGTATCGCCGAGGAGAAGGTTTATTACCTAGGTTAGAACATGGCCATCCCCTCCTGCTAAAAAATCAAATACAATTCAGCTAAATTAATTACTACGATATGGTTATCAATCGAGATGCTTTTGAAAAGGCTTTATTTCTAAACAACATGTGGGAGGATTATCGTTTGTTTAAAAATTAAATTAAACTTTAATTCAAGGGAATCAGGTAACTGAAATATGTGCATATATCAATATTGGTGTCTGACGAAAGAGTTTAATAAGTTTATATGTAGTTTGAAACTATTTTTAACAGGGCTGCCACGTGTTTAAAAATTAAATACAATGTACATAATAGGTTAAATTAATTATAACAATGTGGATATGGAACATGAGATGGTTTGCCACCTGTCAAAAAATGTAATTCAATTAATTTCAGTGAATCACTACGTTAAGGATATCATCCAAAATGGCTTAGAAAGGGATTAATTTTCAATTACGTTTAGTGGGATTGCTACCTGTTTAAAAAATCAAATCAAAATAAAATATGATAAAAAAAACACTATACAGAGTAACCATTATGTTGAGTTCTATTGAAATAATTTGCACCTTATCTAACACGCAGCAATTTCATACACTTATCGTACTATCTATAGTATATAGTAGTTTCTTTTTTAAAAATATCTTTTAACTTTCATTTTTAGTGCATCTCCAGATACCCTTCAAATTAAAAACATTATCTGAATACAAAATTCCATCAAAATCCTTAGAGTCGTTTCCTGGAAGCCTTTGGATATACATATATACATCCATATTTACAAGAACTGATTTTTTAAAGTGAAGAGATATATACATATATGTAGTTTGAGAAAAAATTCGTACGATTTTACTGCCTTAAAAACTTATTTGCCCATTTTTACTCGAACTTACCCTTACGTAGAGAATGTTTTTCTAAATAAACGGACAACTATTTTCTCCCTGCAACTCTCCAAATTTTTATATTGAACCCCTCCTCCCCACCGCCCCAGCCCCCTCTTAACGTTGTCGGGCGTCTTGACTTTCCTATCACCCCCCTTTACTCATTGAACACTTCTACAGAACACCCTGTACATGTAAAGAAAACAGGTACAGTACTGCAGCAGTATTTTCAGTTTATTTTTCCGCAGTAGTAAATATTCCCAATGGTCAGTGTTTTTTTGTTTGTTTCCAAACTACGAACTGTCAATCAAACACCCTAGC